AATTTCTTACCCAGAAAGTTCACGGAAGCTTGTTCTTGTTCAGCCATGGCAGACATCTTTCAGGGCTCTACCTTTTGAATCATTTGTATCTGGGGCTGAGTTCTGCTTTCACTCTTCACCACACCAAAAGCCAGGAGGGCAGCTTTAGAGGGTACAGAAGACATCATGAGGTAAATATAGCTCTGTTGTCCAATATTTCACTGCTATTCCTATTCTGCCTTCTCCCTACATATCCACCCCATGGAGCAGCAGGTTTACTCAGCCCCCTGGTAGGATCCATCTTGACAAAATTAGTTAGAAAGTAGGTCATGAAGTTGGTAGCCTTCCCGGTCATCCAAGAAATACTGCCTCTGCATGTGTCCTTCCCTTTTTTAAGTGTCACGCTTAATTATCTGTCAGTAGATTGATTCTTTGTTGAGCTTGAAAACTCCTTTGAAAATCAATCCAGATCGGAAAAGCACTTTGACATTTTGTGTCTCTTAAATCCTACAAGGATGCATTGGTGAAGACTGACTTCTTTTGTACTGCTGGTGGCTGATTGTTTGGACGTTTTAATCTTTTTTCAGAAGGCAGAAAGTCCTTTCTTTCCTTTTATTCACACACTGTCTTCGTAGAGGACCTCTGCTATTTTCATTTCGGCCCCGAATTCAATCTTTTATGGTAGCAGAGGACCAGTGCGTGAAGACTAAGAACACTGTCTTAGTCTTCTTCTCCCACACGTGCTTCCCTCCAGATGTTTGGATTACCTCTTCCTCCATCCTTGACCATTTGCTGTTTCGATGGGGACAGATGGACTTGCAAGTCTAAAATTTCCGTGAACCAACTTGGGATGATGGCTATATGCAGAAAGGTTAGAAAAGAGTTATCTGGAAGTTGAGTTGTGGCAACTGCAGTTCTTTCTTATTACATTGACAAGTTTCGCTACTCATCCAAGTAGCTTCTTCAGTCTGAGGAGATTTGGTAGGAGACACCTGATATACCAACGAGAAGGCTCTATCAGGGGTCTCCTACACTCTCCTCAGACTGAAGAAGCTACAGTACAACGAGCAGGATCTATCAGGGGTCTCCTACCAACTCTCCCCACATTGAAGAAAGAACTTAGATGAATAGAGAAACTTTTCAATGTAATAAGAAAGAAGCCTAGTTGCCATGACTCAACTTCCAAGTAACCTCTCCTGGATGACTGAGAATCTTCACAGTTAGAAAAGAGTATTGGCTTCCTGTCCAATTCCTCATATCCTATGGTTTGAAAATCTCTTCAAGATATCTGATCCAATGGCTTTCAAGCTTGCGACTCGCAATGAATCGTGTTTTGCATCCAGCTGTTTCCTTTTATGGATGAAGCTCAGAAAAGTCACTTTTTGGGACTGCTGTGTGTTGTCAAGCCAGATATGATTTATAGCCACCCTGATAGGGCTTTCAAGATAAATGAGCTTTTTAACAGAGTGGTTTTATCAGTTCCATTCCACCAGTGAGTTTCCATGGCTGAGCGGAGATTTGAACCCAGGCCTTCTTACTCCTAGTTCATCACCACAGTGGGTATCTTTGACTACAGCTCACCAAATCCCCCAAGCCAGTGGTCAGTCTGTCTAGGATTTGTGGGCCAAGAAGGTTTTGGTTGTGGGACACTGTTAATTCTGGACTACATGGGCAAATTCTAGGGCCTGGCACCACGTTTAATAATTCCTCTGGATATGTTCAGCCTCCACGATCCCGTGGATTCCCCAGTGGTGACACGAGACAAACAGATGACCTCAAGCAAATTCCTGTTCCTTGTGGAAATGGAGATTGCCGTCTGTGAATTAATATGACTTATCTTCAATCGGCTGAAGGAAGGCATAATTTAAGTGTGCGAAACATTTGCTGCAGCAGGTGATATGACACCTTTTGAATGAAATAGTTCTTGCGGTATCAATCAACCACATTTTGCTGCTCTTTCATTTTACACAAAGGACCCATTAAAAAGTTGTGATAGCTATTTAGCATGTAGAACAGGAAGTGAGACATCTTATCCTTTTTAGAAAGGAAGAATGAGAACCAACAGTACGAAACATAATCCCACTGAGATTGAGGTGACAAGGTATTAAATGTATAACAGCAGCTTTTAAAGGCTTCCTTTCCAGACACCCATCAATGTTCCGATGTTGTATTGTAAAAAATAAGAGTTCCTGCAACCAGCAGGAGTTGAAGGGCAGCCCTTTGCAGGGGGAAGGTTGTTCTTATACATTTTTTAAAAAACCAAGTTCCTTAAAAACAGGACTAACAATAGCAAGAGGCTTGAGTCAAATCAACACAGTTCTTTGTTCCATGGGAAAATCTACAAAAACATCAAGCCAAGGTAACTGTTCTTTATTTAGGTGACCTTATGGCACTGATATATATATAAAAAAACAAATGGAAACGTTCCAAAGAATCTATTTTTATTGCATGCAAACTTCTTGTTTAGGTTCATATGAGATGCAAAAGATTATGGCAGTAGAGGTCAGTGAAAAGGAGGACTTACATCACCAAAAAGAGAACATGAGAGGACACCGATTTGCATAAAACTGTAATTTATATGTAGGCACAATCTGGCTGGAGAGCTCAATGGTTTAGGTAACTGGATGTGAAGCCAGAGGCTGACGGTTTGATTCCCCACAGTGCCTCCTGAGAGAAGAGCCATCCTGCGTAGCCTTGGGCAAGCTGCACAATCCCAGGGTGCCCTCAGAAGGAGGGGGATGTTGAGCCTGAGAACTCCTTACCTAGAAAATGCCCAAAAAAGGATCACAATAAATCAGAGTGGATTTGAAGGCGCAAAACAACAGGAGCAGCAGCGAGGCATTTGAAGAATCCAGCTAGCTCATTATGAAAAGGATCAAAAAGCAATTAACAGCAACATATAGGGGCACCATAACAAAATATGGGGAAACCTTGAACCCTATCCTTGTTTCAGGGTTACTGTTATGTAATCAGTGTAATCAGTAAATCAGTATACACTGTGTATAGGGCTGCAGCTTAAGAGATGTGTAAGCTTTTGAGTTAACAAGACTCTTCATCGGGCTGAACTTCAGAACAAGCAAACAAAAAGTGATGAACAAGAAAAAGATGCTCTTGGACAAATGAAGTCCAAGAGATCTCTTGGTTTCTTTGTTTTATTTATACAGTTGCACAGTCTTAGAGTCCATCATCATCATCATCATCATCATCATTATCATTATTATCATCATCATCAATAACAACATCAATAATTTTAACTGGAACATTAGAAGTGCAAATACAATTATAGTATACTTCACCTGTGTGAGGAATCTTGCTTCTTCTTGACACTAAGGGAAAAGAGAGAGAACAACGTTTCCAGTTACCACAAATACGTCTTCCAGCCACTATTTGGGATTTTAGAGCCAAAGTATATAGCAATTTATCAATAATACAAATAGCCAGACGCTCACTGTTTGTCTGAAGCTCAAGTATAGAACAGATTCAAAACAAACACATTTCAGTGCTTCGAATCTTTGGCAGGTTCATAGAAATGCTTGTTTTTAAAGTGGATTTGAGTTTGGGATAACAAGTGCTACGGTAAATGTAAACATTTCTCATCCGCCCCGATTGAAAAAGAGTCTTCCTTGTCTTCCATTCCTCCAAGGGAATGAAAGACAAGTTTCGCATCGTTAAGGATTCCTTTCGCATCGTTAAGGAGCTCCTTCCCAACTTTCTGGAGCTCCTCAGAGCCATAACTAAGGTGGGTAGGGCCACTGGAGCTTTGACCCTGGGCACCGATATTTGGAAGATGCAGCAATGGGTCATTTTTGAATTGCCACTGATTTTCTGGAGTGTGGCAGCAGCATGCCTGAGGTCTGAGTCTTCAGGGACAGCGTGTTTCTATGTGCATGTATCCTGTTTTTAGCTTCAATGATGTATGCTGCCTTGGGTCCTTTTTAGGGCGATACAGCAGGGTAAAAACATTTTAAATAAATAGAATGAATAAATACATGCCACCTCAACAGTGACTTGGGCATGAAGCCCTGGTTCTTGTAGAGACTACCAGCCATGCAATGGCCAACTGGATAGTGAGTCCGCCAATTTGAGTCCCTATCCCTGATGGCTGTCGAGCCGCCTTTGGCACAAAGGCGGTTCGACAGCCATCAGGAATGGGGACTCAAATTGCCGGACTCACTATCCAGTTGGACTGAAGTTGCACCAAGTGACTCAACTCAGAATCAACATGTTACCCACCCACCCCTCCCTTGTTTCTTGGGCGGGGGAGCTTGTTTTTAATAGGGACTCAGACTTGGGACTTGGTGCCAAGGACTTGCCATCATCTCTCCCAGCCAGTGGTATCTACCATCCGCCTTCCTCACCCTCCTTGAGCGTGCAGTTGTATTCATGTAGTGTATTTCTTGGGGGATTCCCTTAAGCAACACTGGTTGGCCACAGTGAACAGAACGTTAGACCCGACAGGTCTCTGGTCTCTTCCAGCATCGTCCTTCAGAGTTTCACCACAAACATTACCTGTTCATAGTTCTGTAACCCTTCAAACATGAAGTCTCTCTAGAATGACGAAACTGAAGGTGACTAAAGTAGGGCCACTGAATGAATTGGAGAAATGTATTAATGCATATTAACTCCTACTGATTGTGTACAGCTCTCCTGTGTCTGGGAGTAACGATTGTATTTAGCCCATAGTGTTCTTCAGTTATTTAGCGAACCAAACCGGGCCACATCCCCTGCTGTGAGTGATCTGTTTGGTTGTTGATCGGTGTGATTGTCCCTATTTTACTGCTGCCTTTCGTCCATTCAAGAGGCTCTGTGATTGGTCCCTGTTGGCATCAATAAAATAGAAGCACTGAGTGTTCCTGGACTAGATCTCCTAGAAAAACCCTGGCCTTTAGCTGTGCTTGCTAGGTTTTCTCTTCCAGGAGTTTTAGTCCAAGAAGATCCGGTGCCCCAAATACTGAGAAAATCCCAGCTCAATTCCTTCTTTTCTCCTCCCTTGTTCTCCTCCCTTGTTCCCACCAACAAAGTGACTCTGATCCAGGGAGACATCACCAACCCGGATGATGTGAAAGCTGCTGTACGAGGGTCTCACGTGGTCATCCATACTGCCAGCTTGGTAGACGTTTGGGGCAGAGTCGCGCCTGAGAAAATCAGTGCGGTCAATGTTGGTGGTAAGTACTGGAGAGTAGAAAACTTAGTTAACCTCTTCCTTTGTATAGGTTACTTTTTTGCTCAAGTTCTGTAGAAAACTAGCCGATAAGGGATTTTACTCCAGCCTTCTCTAAGTTGTACTAGTTTTCTAAATACGGGGATTCATTTCCAATAGAAATGAACTTTTGTCACCGTCCCATGACTGCTGGTATGATTCAAAAGCAGGTATATGTCCTCCTCTGCTGAGCTCGGAAGACTTTTCCAGTTTTCTACTAATGTTTCTAAGCTCCATTCCTTTGTAACAAAGGAAGATCTGGATTCGTGGTTTAGGTTTCTGGCTGCGGAGCCAAAGGTAGGGAGTCGGTGCACGTAGTTGATTTTCCACTACGCTTCCTTGATCAAGGTTGGACTCAATGAGCCGTAGGGTCCCTTCCAGCTCTGCAGTTCTAAGATGAGGACAAGGATGATGATTAAAATGCTTGGATCGAAATGCACTCAAATCTCACCTTATTATCCTAAAAGTGTCCTTCTCCCTAATCAGGTACTTAAAAACTCCTAAAGCGCTCCATCCAAATGAGTCAAATACGTTTATTCTTGGCAGGGGAATAAATCTATTTGGGATGGAGTGAGAAAGGAAGGGGGAAGAGATTCCAAGAAAAATGGAATGGAAACCAGTATGGGAAAGAGGAACTGCTAAGCAACTTGGATGGAAAGGAAAATCTTACGTTCGTTAAGCCTGCTGCACGGCTTATGCAAAAACAGATTTCTTCAGGAGCAGTGCTGTTCAACGGGCCAAAGAACTAGGCCAAGCCCCCAACTCTGGGTGGAATTTTTTTCCTGCCACAAGAATTCCCTTGGGCCAAGGAGGTGCGAGCAGCGATTCGGTGGGGCCATCACCAGTAATGAGATTTGCCAGTCATCTCTCCTCCGCACATGATTTTTCTCTCCCTCTCTTAAGATCTACTGCCTTCTTTCTGATCCTCTTTCATCTATCCACACACTCACCTCCTCCTGCTCCAAAAGAGAGGAGCTATCGTTCAGGGGGATACTCCTTGGCCATCATCCTTCCTTAATCCCAGGTGCTGAGGGTCAATCTCTGGTTACATCGTGGAGAGGTATTGCTTTGCATCTGAGATTTGTACCCCGTCTTTCCCCGACCTCCAAAACGGGACTCAAGGTGACTTGCATTAAAACCAAATAAAAGAGGCGTAGTTAAAACCTCAAAAGCGGATTTAAGGGGTGGGTGCACTCTTTGCATGCTCCAAGAACCTCACACCTATGTTGCTCCTCCATCTCTTCTGGGGGCCGAGCAAACAAGATGCTGTGGAAACTTGAGTTCAGGATTGTGCTTCTAGCTTCCAACAGGGAGCTCTGGCTAAAATGGGATATCTTGAGGCTCAAAAAGCAGGGCTTGGAAGGGTCCATGGCTCAGGGGAGAAGTATATGTGCAAATGGCCCATGTTTAATCCCTCAAGTTATGATTGAAGGCCAGGAAACATCTGTGTCTGAAACCCAGGAGACTTGCTGCCAGTTGGAGTGAACAATTAATTCATTGTCTTATTCAGTATAAGGCCCTAGCTACGTTTCTGGTCCCTCTTCTCGGCTACATAAAAACTTCCTGATTACGTGGGAGTATACATGCAAGCTACTCTGTGCATGCTCAGAGGTCCCTTTTTTTACATAAGATGGCAGCTGCTGTGTGCTGATCACATCTGGAGAAAAGCAGGCAACTGAAATGCCAAATGTCGGTGTTACTGTTGCCTTGTCATAGGTTATAAGGAGAAAAACTCTGTCCAGCCATTTCCCCTCCACCCAATTCTTTCTCCTCCCTCTTTTTTTTCCTCTTTCATGGCTAGCTGGGACTCCCATGTGTCCAAAATGATTCCATGTGGCTTTGCGTGGTGGTGGAGGGGAGGGTGTGTTTGTTTTTTCAAAAGGGTTTTCCAGGGAAATCCATGCAGTTCTTGAAATCATGGACAGAATGAGTCAAGAGCAAAGTTTATGAAATCCATGTGCGACCTAGCATTTTCTTTGGATTTATGAATACCAGCTGCTCGGTGTTAGCACAGGCAAAGGAAACCAACAGGAAAGGGTGGTGCAGAGCGGGCCCGGGCACTCTCTCATCATGTGAAACTCTTCCAAGAGCACCTTCTGACGCAAACCTATTTCAGGGGCCTATGATTGCCCAGTGGCATGGATTGAGCCCCTATGCAGTGCCCTGTGATTCAGGAAAAAAAGAGATGGCCTACCAATAGAGCAGTGGTCCCCAGCCTTGGGCCTCCAGATGTTCTTGGACTACAACTCCCAGAAACCTTCACCACCACCTCTGCTGGCCAGGATTTCTGAGAGTTGAAGTCCAAGAACATCTGGAGGCCCAAGGTTGGGGACCACTGCAATAGAGAACTGAGATGCCTGGCTTCCTTGGACAAGGAATGGCTGATCTGATTTCCCAGCATCTTTGTTTATCAGATTGCACACCCACCCATTCCTCTGTCCTCACAATAGCCCTCTGAGATCAGTCAGGATGAGGCCAACGGGACTGGCTTCAGGCTAGGCTGGTTAGGCGACTGATATCCTGGACTCCTTTGTCTTTGCCTGCCACTCTAGTCTACGAGCGTGCAAATGTGTGGCTCTCCACAGGATGCATCGCCCTTGGCAGAGCTGCACTCCAAACCCTTCAGTTGGAGTTCCTGAAGTGTGATGATGGATGGTGGGGAGCAGCCTTCCTGGAAGACCTGGAAGCCTCCATTGTTATCTGCAACATCTGGAGAGTATGTTCCTGTTCTCTAATCCAGAGTGGATGGAAGACAAGCTATTCTGATAGAGACCCTTGGGAGATTTATGGAAGATCAGCAGAGCTTCTGACTTCCAGTTGTTTTTTTAAAAAAGGAAGAACAGTAGCAATAACATTTCACTCAAAAGATGGAAGTCTTCTGAGCTGTCCCTGGCAAATTACCAGAAGGTGGCTGATCTTATTGTTTAGCCACGGCCCGTGGGAACCAGTGGGAGCTTGCCTGCTGAAGGAACGTGAAGAAGACCCAAGAACTAAATAAAGGAGAAGGAAAAGATGAGAGTTCTATCTGCTTCTCAGAGGAAACACCAAGAGAGGGATTCTGAAATCCTGCAGCAGAAGGGTGAGGATGCTTAAGGCCATGCCTCCCAGCTAACTTGCAACCTGTGTCTGGTTCACCTCATGTCAGCAGACTCCACACAGACATCTGCCATGATTTTTGGGACATTCCCCTCCCTGCACGATCCATCAGAGAGATTCAGATTCACAGCCTGAGAAAGTGGGATGTTACCTATGAAAGCTTGCAGTTTGTATGATCTTTTAAGTGGTTTAGTGGCATCACCTAACTCTTGCCTTTGTGTCATCCTGAACCACACGGTCTTTTCCTAATTCTTTCAGAAGCAGAAACCTCCAGATCAGAAATCTTTTCAGGCTGAAGCAAAATAATGTGTGGTTCTGCAAAGGATCTAAACCTCCTGCAGAGCACTTCAAAATATAGGGCCTTAAAAAGCATACATATTTGTAAAAGTGGCCCGTCATTAAATTTAATGGTTAATGTTTATCTTCTAATTGCTCACTTGTCTAGTATGGATTTATTTTAGATTATCTGGTTATTGTAGTGCAGTTGCAGCTGACTGAGCTTCAACCTAATTAAGAGCATCTGTTCCAATAAAATCGGATGCTCCTTTCTTAATTCCCTTTGCCTCTCTATAAGTAATGGCAGTAAGAGCTTGACTGCAGTTTTCATTATTAAAATCTTGGCTCGGTAAATGGTTTGTGTGACTGTACCGGTTATTAAATATGAAAATAAACCTGGAACTTGTATGGCCATTCATAACATTCAAAAGTGGTGTTATTCTAAAAGCCCAGGTCTGTTTACTTGCTTTCTCCCCTCTGTAGAGATCAGCTGTAAAGTCAATCGTAAATTATTGGTACAATAAAATGGTGCCTGCAGTGTTGCGTCCCCCTCCCCCCCAAGATATTGCTAAATGACTATTGCTAAGAAGTCTAAGCTTATTTTCACAGAACCGCCCCTTGTAACAGGCGATCGGGGCTCTTTGTGTTTTTCAGCGAGCAGAATCATGTGTAACTTTATTTTCCTTAGAAGAGGAAAAGCTGATGGCTGACCCGTTTTGTGTTTTCCCACCCACCCCACTCTGTCCTTCCTTTCCCCTTCCTACATCACTTCATTTCAACCCAGGAACTCAGAACGTAATTGACGCCTGTGTATCGGAAGGAACCCAGTACTTGGTGTACACCAGCAGCATGGAAGTGGTGGGACCCAATATAAAAGGAGTTCCTTTCTACAGGTAGGTCCTGTACTCATGATCTATACTGGTAAACCATATTCAACGATTGGTTTTAGGCTTCTCTGGTATTGTTAGGCTGTTGCGATTGGTATGGCTTTCCATATACAGTGGTGCCTCGCTTAACGATTGCCTCGTTAAACGACGAAACCACTATACAATGACTGTTTTGCGATCGCAAAACGATGTTTTAATAGGCACAATCCGCTTTGCGACAATCGGTTCCCTGCTTCGGGAACCGATTCTTCGCATTACAATGTTTTTAAAACAGCTGATTGGTGGCTTCAAAATGGCCGCCTGCTGTGTAAAATGGCTCCCCGTTGTGTTTTTGGACAGATTCCTCGCTTTACAGGCACCGCAAATTGTCCCCCCTATGGAGGATTTTCGCTGGACGGTGAGTTTTTCAGCCCATTGGAACGCATTGAACGGGTTTTCAGTGCGTTTCAATGGGATTTTTTATTTCGCTTAACGAGGATTTTGCTCTACAGCGATTTCACTGGAATGGATTATCCTCGTTAAGCGAGGCACCACTGTACTCCTTTGTGGATCATGTGGAGAGACCAAGGTGTTCGGAAGAATTCAAAAGCTTGTGGAGCGTTTTGTACCCTTTGGGTTGTCCTCCTCAATGATATTATCTTCACATAGATTTGGAAATGTTACTATTTCTCTAGAGTCGAGGTGGGCGACAGCTAACATCGGCAGGGCCTCCAGGGCCAGCAAACAATGCTGTCTTCTCAATTCTTGAAATTATTTATTTCTGATGCAAGAAAAAACAAAATTGTATTTTTAATAAAGTCGAGTGCCTCAGGGTTTGTTTGTGGGTTTTTTTTTTCCTGGCTGTGTGTGCATGTCTCTGTGTATTAGTTTCCGTAACCATAACAGTGAGTTTCCCCGAGTTTTGGCCCAGCTCGAGGGCTTCCCCCAGAGTTTCATAGCAACAGCAGTACATAATGCCATTTACCCAAGCAACAGGCAAGTTTTTTTTAATTACAGCATTTTCTATACAGCAATGCTTTGACTGGTTTCTAGGTTGACATTTCTAGTGGAAAGAAGGCAGTTTGGAGGCAAAAATCAAGGACTTTGATGCTGCTTGTTTTGAAATACTAAATCACTGGAATTATAAAACTGCTCAACTCTGAATGGCCTGGCTTGAACTGGAAAAAAGAAAATGGGAAAACCAAGTCAGCTTCTGAGGTGTGGGCTTTTATAAGGACAAAATAGGATTTTTAGTAGCCCCTGTCTATTATATACCCATCTCTGTTATACAGGATGGTCTCCATTCCTACTCTTGAGAAGGGAGAGGGCTGGTTTTGTCTTAGGCCCTGTTCCTATGAAAAGGTGTCTTCTTAAAATGAGAGTTTGAATTCTACAACCGGTTTGACAGATCTGGCCCCGCCATCAGACAAGAGAGCCACGGCTGCCTTGCATCACAAATGTAGAGTGTCTAGAAAAAGCCAGGAGATTATTACTTACTTAATTTGTAATTATTGTATCTTTATAATTCTGCCTTGGTTGCCAAATTGACTTGGGCGTTGTGTTCTTGGATTTGTATAAAGTATTCTGTGTGCCAGTTTTCTGTCCTATCTCGGGCAGCTACATGTCTTTGGCAAGCCTCGCTTGAGAGCTGCTCCATAAGGGAGCAGAGCCAGAGTGTGTGTGAAGGAAAGGAATAATGGAGTCATTATACAATTCATCATACAACAGGTTGAAGTCTTGTGCCCTTTGTTGATATGTACAGAGGAAGACTCGATAGACACAAATATCCCATGCATTTACAGTAGTAAGGGCACTTACCACAGCGGTGGCTTTTACACACCTCTTAATACCAGGGGAACCCTATCTCGTACTCCAAAGCACATGATGCACTTGCTTCTCTACCATCGTGCCAGGGCATTAGTGTTAATTGAATGCCACTTAAGTGTACTGCGGTGCCTTATTTTTGTTCATGTGTAATCTTAGTTGAGAAGGAAGGGGATTTTGCAAGGGCAGTTCCCGTGGGTTCCCCCCCACCCCTTGTATGTAGGAAATGTTGGGTTCTGATAGCCTGTTGTGTCTTTTTCCTTCTCGTTTGCAGGGGAAATGAAGACACCAGATACGAGGTGATTCACAAGGAGCCTTACCCAATTAGCAAAGCTAAAGCGGAAAAGCTGGTCATTGAAGCAAACGGACGACTGGTAAGCCAGCCTTTTCTTTATTGGAGGAAGAAAAGGAGTCCTATGACACCTTAGAAATGAACAGGTTTACTGTTACGTAGAACCATGCGACTAGAACCTTAGCCAGATGCTATCATGGAAATCCCTGGAACATTCGCCTCTTAATCTGTTAAGTAGAGACACTTGGTGTATCTGCTGAAGAGGTGGTAATCCATGAAACTTTACTCTTGTGGAAGAGACTTTTCAGCAGCTTAAAGACAAGCACCTGTAGTCCCCTGCAGCGTGTTTATTCAAAATCCTGTTGGAAGGAGCTAAGGGTGCAACTAGATGGCCGGGTTTTATCCTGGCCTGGAGTGGTCTCAGTTGTGGCAAACAGGGCTGCTTGGAGGTGCGATATGTCATTTCAGGTGATCCTTGTATCCCCATGCAAGGATCAACGATGCTGCATCTCGAGCCCCTTGGCCACTCTATCTTTGCCATCATCTGCTGTGAATGATCTACATTGTAATACAACAGATTTAGAGAAAGGTACCTTGGAGCAGATGATACCACTCTGATGGCATAAAGTGAGGAGCAATTAAAGAACCTCATAATGAGGGTGAAAGAGGAGAGCAGAAAAAATGGTCTGAAGCTCAACATAAAAAAAACTAAGCTCATGGCCACTGGCCCCTTCACATCCTGGCAAACAGAAGGGGAAGATATGGAGGCAGTGACAGATTTTATTCCCTTGGGCTCCACGATCACTGCAGATGGTGACAGCAGCCACGAAATTAAAAGACACCTGTTTCTTGGGAGGAAAGCAATGACAAACCTAGACAACATCTGAAAAAGCAGAGACATCACCTTGCCAACAAAGGTCCGCATAGTCAAAGCTATGGTTTTTTCCAGTAGCAATGTATGGAAGTGAGAGCTGGACCATAAAGAAGGCTGACCGCCGAAGAATTGATGCTTTTGAATTGTGGTGCTGGAGGAGGCTCTTGAGAGTCCCCTGGACCTCAAGGAGAACAAACCTATCCGTTCTGAAGGAAATCAAGCCTGAGTGCTTACTGGCAGGACAGATCCTGAAGCTGAGGCTCCAATAATTTGGCCATCTCATGAGAAGAGAAGACTCCCTGGAAAAGACCCTGATATTGGGAAAGTGTGAAGGCAAGAGGAGAAGAAGATGACAGAGGATGAGACGGTTGGACAGTGTCATTGAAGTGACCAACATGAATTTGACCCAACTCCGGGAGGCCGTGGAAGATAGGAGGGCGTGGCGTGCTCTGGTCCATGGGGTCACAAAGAGTTGGACATGACTTAACGACTAAACAGCAACAACAACCTTGGGCAGGAGGGGGTTGTTTTACCTCCCTGCCTTCCCACTATTACAAGTTTGAAAGGACCAGCCCTCAAATGTATGTATCCACAGGGAGATCTACCTTGGGCAGAATGGCCCCTCCTGACTAATGAATTAAATCAGATACAGGTTAAAAGAGAGGATGTTTTATACCTAATTGATAAATTGAAGATCAGTAAGTCACCGGGCCCCAATGGCATCCACTCAAGGTTTAACCAGGAACTGAGGAATGAGGTTGCTGATCTCGTAACTAAACTATACAACTTGTCCCTTAAAATGGCCACAGTGCCAGAGGACTGGAGGATAGCACATGTCACACCAACCTTTAAAAAGGGAAGGAGGGGGGATCCGGGAAACTACAGGTCTGTTAGCCTAACGTCTGTTCCAGGGAAGATGGTGGAAAGCCTCATCCAAGATAAAATCTTAAAACACACAGAACAAGAAGCCTTGCTGAGGGAAAATCAGCATGGCTTCTGTGAGGGCGAGTCTTGCCTCACAAACCTCTTATGGACGGAGAATTGGTTCAGAACCAGGAAACATAGAGTAGGTGTCAAGGGGAAATTTTCACAGTGGAGAGAGATGAAGAGCGTTGTGCCCCAGGGATCTGTCCTGGTACCAGTGCTTTTCAACCTGTTCATCAGTGACCTGGAGGCAGGGATAAGCAGTGAGGTGGCCAAGTTCGCAGATGACACAAAAGACCAGAAAGGATTGTGAAGAGCTCCAGAGGGATCTCTCCAAACTGGGAGAAAGGGTGGCAAAATGGCAAATGTGTTTCAATATAAGAAAATGTAAAGTAGTGCACATGGGGGCTATTTATTGGCTGATGGGTTCCGAGCTGTGCGTGATGGATCAGGAAAGAGATCTTGGTGTCCTGGTGGACAGCTTAAGGAAAGTGTCAATCCAGTGTGCGGCAGCAGTGAAGAAGGCCAATTCCATGCTAGGTATCATTTTAAAAGGGAATTGAAAGTAAAACTGCCAACATTGTATAAACACTGGTAAGGCCACACCTGGAGTATTGTGTGAAGTTCTGGTCGCCGCACCTCAAAAAAGATATCGTGGAACTGGAAAAGATGCAGAAGAGAGTGACTCAAATGACAACTGGCTGGGGCCCCTCCCTTATGAGGAAAGGCTGCAGCGTTCAGGGCTCTTTAGTCTAGAAAAAGGCCCTTGAGGGAGGACATGATTGAGAAATATAAAGTTATGCAGGGGATGGATAAAGTGGATAGAGGGAATCTCTTTTCCCTCCCACACTATAACAGAACCAGGGGATACCCACTCCAATTGAGTGTGGGGAGAGTAAGAACAGACCGAAGAAAATATGTCTTTACCCAATGTGTTGTTAGTCTGTGGAACTCCTTGCCACAGGATGTGGTGATGGCATCGGGCCTAGATGCCTTTCAAAGGGGATTGGACAGATTTCTGGAAGAAAAGTCCATCACAGGTTACAAGCCATGATGGGGATGTATAATCTCTAGGCTTCAAAGGAAGGGACCTCCAGATGATGGGGAGGGGTATCGGGAGACGGGGATCTAGTTATCTCGTGTGCTCCCAGAGGCCTCTGGTGGGGCCACTTTGAGATACAGGAAACTGGACTAGATGGGCCCTTGGCCTGATCCAGCAGAGCTCTTCTTACATTCGAACTAGCAAACGTTTCTGCCTCTTCTGTGTCAGATGGAAAATGGGAAGCGTCTGCATACTTGCGCTCTTCGGCCCACGGGCATCTACGGGAGGAACCATCCACTGATGAAGGAGTTCTACGAGCAAGGCCTTCGTACAAAGAGGTGCATGGTCCGGCTTATTCCAGCCTCCGTCGAGCATGGCAGGGTGTATGTGGGTAAGCAATATCTGCCCATTTTACTATCCGTCCATTGATCTGTTCATCTTGCCTTCCCTTCTTCCTTTCAATGTCGTTTCAAGCCATTTCCTTGGCACTCATCCTGAAACTGGAGAGGACATCTAGTCCTGGCTCAGCGCCCCACCCCACCCCAATAAATAGCCTCTACCCCTTTGACCTCAAAGCCTCATCACTTCACCTTTGCCAGGAAGCTAAGCAAGAAAACCAAGGCCTTTACAGTATTTAGTAGCTTCTCCTTTTAGAGAAATTCCAAGAGTAACAAGTATGGAAAGGGTTTATATACACTCAGATGGTTTCTCAGCTTGTTTATATTTCTTAGGCAGCCAGTCCTCAAGGCCAAAATCTCTCTCTTTTTCTCTGACTCTCTGTTGCACAGTTTAATGAACATTCCACTGTCATCCACATTTCTGTTCTTGGAGTAGACGGATGCAGAGATACTTGGAACCATCCCAAGCACTTACTTTTGTATTCCAGTAAAAGCTTTAGCAATAGTGCATTTGTATGGCCACTCTTTTAAAATAAAAGCCAAATTAAATATTAAATATTTTCTGCCCTGGAGTTGGCTGGATAGCTCAGTGGTGCAGGTATCTGGCTGTGAAGCCAGAAGTTGGGAGTTTGATTCTCCGCCATGCCTCCAACCTGTGTGACCCTGGGGCAAACTGCCCAGTCTCTGGGCGCACTCAAAAGAAGAGAAATTACTTTAAAATAAAATTTAAAAAAAATAAAATAAAAAAAAGAAGAGAAGGGTAAACCCCTTCTGAGTATTCTCTACCTGGAAAACCCTGAAAAGGGACACCATAGGTCAGAATTGACTTTGAAGGCCCATGATCATTAAAAAGGCAGAACAGCTTCTTTTTCGACTACAGTCTCCAAAATCCTCCAGCCCGAAAAGCTAGTTGCCATGCTGACCAAAGAAGTTGAGTGTAGTTTTTTAAAGAAAGTACCATATTTTTCTGTGTATAAGATGCCCCCATGTATAAGACGCCCCCCACTTTTCTAATCCAAAATTAGGAAATCTAAGTGGGGCTTAGCAAGTGTAGGGGGAAAGGGATCAAAGTGCTGCAGGATCGCTTTGATCCCTGCTTTCCCCTCCACTTGTTTTTGTTTTCTCCTCAGCTTACTTTCATGTATAAGACGACCCTCAATTTTTAGTCAAAAGATTTTAGACAAAGTATAGTCTTATACATGGAAAAATATGGTAATAAAATTTTAAAACTACATCTCCAGGCTTTGACCATGACCAAGAAGAAGACTCAGAGGCTTCTGTCCTAAAACAATTTCTAAGCTCTGCCAGTGTTTAATGTTCTAATTTTTTTTAATTGCCTCCCTCTTTTTCCTCCCCATCCTGCTTTAAGCTCTGCCAGTGTTCAGTGTTCTAATTTTTTTTTTTAAAAAAAATGCCTCCCTCTTTTTCCTCCCCATCCTGCTTCCTGAAAATGGGACTGCAGGGAACGTGGCTTGGATGCATCTGCTTGTCGCCCGGAAGATCCAGGAGTGCCCCACGGTCATTGGGGGCCAGGTGTATTTCTGCTACGACGACTCCCCTTACAAGAGCTATGAGGATTTCAACATGGAGTTCCTGAGGCCCTGTGGTTTCTCTCTTCTGGGCTCCCGGCCTCTGGTGCCCTACTTTCTGCTCTACTTCATCGCTCTCTTCAACGCCTTTTTGCAGTGGCTGCTGAAACCGTTCTGCACCTATGCCCCAATCTTCAATCCTTACACCCTGGCTGTGGCCAGCACGACCTTCACGGTCGAGACAGACAAGGCCCAGAGGAACTTTGGCTACCAGCCTCGGTACACCTGGGAAGAGAGCCGGAACTCCACCGTGAAATGGCTTCAGGAGATGGACGCCCAGAGACAGACGGGTAAAAATGCACTGGCCAAAGTGGAAAGGACAGGAAACCAAGAGCAGAAAGATGCCTCCAATGGAAATCAGCCTTGACGTTTGCAGCCACTGGGTTATCGGGGACTGACCTCATATCCCTGATATGGTCCCATTGGGGTTTGTCATCTCGGTTGTCTGTGGCCCTGAATTTTGCTGTCACGCACTGATCACTTAACAAATCGCCTGCCTTTTGCCTTGATTTGGTCCCTAACTTTTGAAAGCACTGTCCTGAAGTAAACAAAACAACAACAAGGCAACCCAAGAGATGAAGAAGACATGGTGTATCTCTGGAAATCAGCTCCAGGATAAGATCCACCGGTTTTCTCTAAAGAGAAATCAAGCACCAGCGAGTTCCATTTTGAATGTGAACATTGTGTAGTTCAGCTCATCATCTCCCGGTGAGAGCCATGTGCTTTTTCAGGCTGTTCTATAATGACCCCCTGTTTCAGATTTCGGTGTTTTGCACATTCCACATCTCAATTGGATGGGAACCATCGACTTCCACATCGAGCTCCTGTCCCGGGGTTCTTCATCCATTAATTACCCTTGGCAATCTTGATTTACATGCCACAAATAAGCAAGGGACCAGGGAGTTTCTAGACACAGGGTGCTTTCCACCTCATGTATCATTTCTTCCTTGGTGTAATGGGTTCTTGATAGAGATGGGCATGAACCAGTACATCTCAGTTCATCTCAGTTCGTCACCTCCTCTGGCTCAATGAGCCACTTGCCAGGCCCAGCATCCTGCATCCCCTCAACTGATCTTCCAGTCCCGGGCAACAGCTCAGGCCCCTCTGTCCTGCCTTCGTGGCTGATCTCCCATTCAGACAAAAGGACAAGGCAAAAAACATCTGTGCTCTTGCTCATGACTGGGAGATTGGCCGAGAAGGTGGCAAAAGCAAAAGCAGCACCTGTGCTTCTGCCTTGACGAACTGGGACGAACCAGTTCGTGCCCATCTCTAGTTCTTGGTCCACTCTTTATTTATGCAATGTTGTTCTGATTTCTTTCCTACCTCAGTCACTATGACATGACTGGTTCTTGTGCAATAAAGTTCCCAGTTTATGTTTTCATCATCTGAAGCAGCAGATATACTTTGCTTCGTAATGTATGCCATTACATAATGTTGTTGTCCTTTTTTTTAACTGCGCAATAAGAACGTGGCCAGAACGTCCTCCAGTGTGAGACATCTCTTCATGCTTACCTATAGCTAAGGTTGCCAGGACTCCTAACTGGAGCTGAAGAGCTAAGGAGCGAAGCATGGTAGATACGGAGATGGAGAAATACTTGGATTACAACTCCCAAAATTCCCAGTTACCATGAGCCATACTGGCTGTGAAATGCTGGGTGGTGCAATCCCAGAAAGTAACTTCACCTCTCTGGGCAGATCTAAGGGGTGCTTGATGGGTGCAGGTGACATTTAGAGAGCAACACAGAAGATCCTGCAGATGCCAGGTGGCGTCAATAAACATGGGGCAATGCTAGATTGCAATCATCATGGGAGTCGAAGGTCTTCACTATGAAGAGGAACACCTAAAGGGTTTGGAGTGCATTCTTGCAGGGCAGGGGAGGTGATGAAGTGGAATGGGAGAGGTGGTAGGCATGACTGAAGTCAAGCATGAGATAAAGTAGATAGAGGTTTTCTCTTTCCTTCTCTTCATACTAACATTTGGAAAGTGTGAAGGCAAGAGGAGAAGGGGACAACAGAGAACGAGATGGTTGGACAGTGTCACCGAAGCGACCAACATGAATTTGACCCAGTTCTGGGAGGCAGTGGAAGACAGGAGGGCCTGGTGTGCTCTGGTCCATGGGGTCACGAAGAGTCGGACAGGACTTAACCACTAAACAACAACAACAGAAGGTTCAGTGGGAGAAAAAAGAAAGTCCTTCATATTAAAAAGTCTGCCATATATCTAGAGCTGGGAAAGCTGCATTTTCTGGATGACAACTACCAGAATGCTGGCCGTGTGCTTCTGGGTGTTGTAATCCAAAAAACATAGCTTGCCCCCCCCCCCAAACTGTGCATGCAGTACATCATCATGAGCTGGTGTTCTTTGCTGTGAGATGTAGTGATGACTGCTGACTTTGGTGGCGTTGAGAAGGGGAATGAACCAGTGCCCACAATAAGAGCTATCCTTAGCCACTAGGCATGATGGCCAGAGGCAGCCTTGAGTCTCAAAGTCAGTGGTACCAGCTACTGGGCTGTGGCCTTCCAAGCATCCCTCCAGCTGGCCACTGTCGGAAATGACCTGCTGGGTTCAACAGGCCTTTGACTGTCATATTTCTTATATTCTTAATGCACTTTGATTATTTAATGTCTATTATATATGCAATTACACTTAAGAATAAATAAATATATTCATTGCCAGAGGAATGTAGATCCCCATTTCTTCCATGACGCGGACCGTATGGTGCAGGAACGGTGCCCACAGTGACCCCCAAAGGGCAGTTGAGGTACATCGGAAGATCACAGCAAACAACTGCCTTTTGAGATCCCCTGTAATCTCTCTTCCCTTCATCAAAGGAAGAAGAGAGATCTGGCCCTTCATAGGAAGGTGAACTCTCATTTCTGTCAGCGTGACCGATGTCAGGCTTCAGGGTGTTGTCCTGCAGCCATCTCTTGACACATCGCAAATTCTCCACACCTGACGCTGTGCCTTGTAAGAGCACAGTAAGCCCACTCAAAATGTTGAAGGATGTGTTTTCTGGCTACCAGCTGCAAGTGAACAGATAGAATTACGGCTGAAGGCTGAAACATCGCCCAAGGACTTGCTCCTTCACAACCCAGATGAAGCAGGTAAGTCTCCCCCACGTCACAGAGGTTCCTTCTGAGGAAATGCACACCAATGAGTCATTTGTACTCAAAGATCTATAGAACAGTCATCCATTGCAGCTAACTTGGAGGACCTCTGCTTGTGTACAGTGCCCGGGCACAATATGGAGCTGGTTGCCATAAAAAGATGCCCAGCAAATGCCCTTTATGCACGTAAAGATTTCCCTTGATAATTAGTCCAGTTGTGTCTGACTCTAGGTGGTGGTGCTCATCCCCGTCTCCAAGCCGTAGAGGAAGCGTTTTGTCCATGGACAGTTTTCGTGGTCATGTGGCCAGTGCGACTAGACACAGAACACCGTTACCTTCCCACCATGGTGGTACCTATTTATCTACAGTGGTGCCCCGCATAGCGAGGTCAATCTGTTCCGGATTAACCCTCGCTATGTGAAATCGTCGCTAAACAGAACATAAAAGCCCATTGGAATGCATTAAACATCATTAATGCATTCCAATTAGCCCTAAACTTACCGTTCAGCGAAGTTTCCTCCATAGCGGCAGCCATTTTCGCGCCCTCGGTAAGCGAGGGGACGGCGTGAAAATGCTGCGTGTGGCCATTTTAGAACCGTCGAACAGCTGATCGCCCGACTCTGTGGGAGGCTTGGGGGGTCAGCAGCAAGAGGAGGAGAAGAGGGAAAGTGGGGGGGAGGATGCACGAGCGCGCGGCTTCCCTCCCTTCGCCTGCCTGCCTCGCAGCCTGCCTTCCTCTTCCCGGCCAATGCGGCCCCGCATCACTCTCGCGGCGGCGGCTCCTTCCTGGCACCCGTCTGCGGCCCGTCTTCAGTAAGCGAGTTTTTTGCATAGGGACGAACGCTATGCCTTCGCATTAGCGATCCCGGAGAAGGGATCGCTATGCGGATTCGTCGTAATACGGTGCGCTCGTTATGCGAGGCACCACTGTACTTGCATTTTACTTGCTTTCGAACTGCTAGGTTGGCAGGAGCTGGGACAAGCAATGGGAGCTCCCTCCACTGCATGGATTCGATCTTACGACGGCTGGTTTGACCTTGCAGCACAGAGGCTTCTGTGGTTTAACCCGCAGTGCCACATAAAACACTGTGGGCAAAAGGCACCTTTGTGAGCAGATTCAGGCTCGCATGGGGATGAGGGCATGCCAGTGGGAGGAGACAAAGACCACAGTCATGAGTGTGAGAAAGGTTGAAGAATGCAGTCCATGAGGAAGTAAATTATTACAAAAGAAGAAGCAGCTATAAAAGGCTGGAGATTTAAATACAAAAGTAGTCAAAGAATGTGTTTTGAACTTTAATTAACTCAGTGGGGGTTATATTTAGGGTTCCCCTGGAACAAACGTCATAAACCCTACTTTGAGCAGACCCAGTGAAATCAATGGAACCTCATTTAGTTTCATGACTAACTTGAGTCCAATTTGTTTCAGTAGGTCGACTCTTCAGTATAATGAAAGCTGGATCCTGTTCATCATCACAACATGCGGGTTCTGGGGTTTTTGGGGTGATGCCCTGCTGGTTCAATAGGTTGATGGTGGGGCAAAAAACACAGCAGAGGAAAAAGGGCAGTGGAAGATGTTCCTACATCATCGCTAGTAAATAAATGGTGAGGAGGGGTGGAAGATAAAGGATCAGATGACAGGATTGGGATTTGGGTCAAGACTCACAATTTTTTTGTGGTGTGCCTAGAAACAGAGTTAAGTGGATTCCAGCACTTGACACAGACTCCTAAGAATCTCGGGGTGGGGTGGGGGACGGAAAAGAGCTGCGGGGTCTCCAAAGCAATACAAACAAAGGAGCAGGCGATACCTTTATTTAGACCATTTAAAAAATCAAGCAAACAACAGACAGCTAGCTTTCGATGATGATTTACCTTCTTCAGGCTCTGCAGCCAAGTTCTTGTGGGTGGCTCAGAAAATTCTATACTTTTGTTAATGTCCCAAAATCTCACGGCTGTTGTTGGGTCTCTCTCTCTCTCTCTCTCTCTCTCTCTCTCTCTCTCTCTCTCTCCTTGGGTTGCTTTTAAAAAAACCCAAACATTCCTGTAACATTGGGCTGAATTGTGGGACCCATTAAACGAGGGCATGACCTCTCCTCTTCCTCCTCCCTGTGCGCCTTCGGCGAGATGGAATGAAGCATTTCAACACCAGTATTGCAAAGGATCCCAAAAATTGCAGCCGCTGGAGAGGGAGGGGTGTCGTCCATCACATCATGGCAAGGGACATGCTGTGTTATTTCTCAAAATAATATTAGTTATATTGGTGTGGCACTTAAGGGAAAGATGGCCTTGTTTTCCTGTACTTGGCACAACCATATTAGTCCCCAGATAATCGGTCTCAATGAGGAAATTTTCTCCAAGGAAAGGAAAGTCCAGTGCAATCCAAACACGAGTACAGATGTCTGCTTGGAGGCTGTAGCGTTCCAGGGGTGCAGAGTCCCTTCCTCTGGAATGTATCCCCAGGTTGTCCCTGGAGTCTAGATGCCTAGTCTTCCTGCAGTAACTGAAGAGTAAGTCTGTATAAACACAAATGTACGTTTATTTGTAAAGCTCATCGCTTCTCCTAAAACAGAATTGGGGAATACTCTGCTGAACGTTGATGAACTATTATTCCCATCATCCTTGCCTCTTGGCTAGGCTACCTGGAGCTGATGGCACTGGAAACCAGCAGCAATGGAAAGCTCCCAGGCTCTCCAGCAGCTATTGAAAGCAGTGGTTCCCAACCTTGACCAACCCAGGTGTTCTTGGACTGCAATTCCCAGAAGCCTTCACCATGAGCTATGCTAGGCTGGATTTCTGGGAATTATAGTGCAAGAACACCTGGGTTACCCAAAGTTGGGAACCACTGATTTAAAGAATTTTGAGACATATTCACGGTGGTCCATATTTGCTTATTCCAAGAATTTCTTGGGTTCAGGAAATGACTCTTATTCTGGTTTGAGCTGCAGTCGAGGCAAAAACCACACCCATCACCACTGACATGTAGGAAGGACACATCCTCAGCCCAACACCGGAGGGATCGAGGCAATCGCACAGCAAGAAAACCATGTTTATTTGGGCCAATCCCAATGGGTCGAAATAAAAAGTAGACTCCAACTCTAGACCAATTTGGGATGGATTGGTCCCCCATTCAGGATGGATTGCAACACTCTTAACAATCAGTCGAGTAGTTGATGTTTTTAAGAGTGATCCCAACCGTCTGAACAGGGGGGTTATAGAGCAGGATAAACTCCAGTGTATCCAGCTTCTTAGTCATGGACTAAAGAGCCTATTCAGACG